TGTGTCATCTCTACTTCCCCAAATGATGTGATTTATAGAGTTCATAGGGCATATGTTCTTCATGTTCCAAGGCAAATTAAACAAATCAATTTTATTGAGGTATAATTCACATATAACTAATTCCCCCATTATAAGTGTTCGTTGAGTTTTGACAAATGTATATGCCTATGCAATCCCTCCCCCCCCCCAATAATCAATAGACGGGGTGTGTGTTGTTTTGTTTTGGTGTATAGTTCTAAGTTTTAAGAAATGTACAGACATATGTAACCATCACCACAATCAGGATACTGGACAGTTCTATCACCCCCCCAAAAACCCCATGTTCCCCTTTGTAGTCACAGCCTCCCCCACCCCCTTAACTTCTGGCAGCCGCTGATCTGTTACCTGAACCTGTAGTTTTATCCAAGGCAAATTATAATCATGATTACCTAGGTGATAACTTTATTAAAAAGGATCCCTTTCCCTTTATGCTTTGTATTGTAGTCACTTGGGATGGGAAGGGTTACTGAAGATCTTCCTCAGGCCCACTGTGGTTCCCTGGTTGCCTTGGGACCAGCCTTCACTTCCATGCTGAGGGGAAATGACCCAGCCAAAAACCATGTAACACGTGTGAGGGAATCAGCTGATCAGGATTTTCAATGTGACCTTAAATTTGAAAAAGATCAGCCATTTGCATCGGAAGCGTGATGAAGATGCTATTCACATCAGCAAATAGATGGCAGTTACAATTACAAAGAAAGAAATATCTAGATCAAATACCAGATATAGCAGAGAATTTTTCTTATTAAGGTGAAATTCAAAACTGTGCAACTACCATCCCTATCAAGTTCCAGAACATTTTCAACACTCCAAAAGCAAACCTCGTACCCCTTAGCAGTCATCCCCCCACCCCCACCGTTCTCACCCCCAGATCTAAGCAACCACCAGCCTGCTTTCTGTCTCTATGCGTTTGCCTCTTCCTAATAGTTCATATAAATGGAATCACAGTATATAACCTTTTCCGGCTTCTTTCACTTAGCCTAATGTTTTCCAACATAATGTTGTATGTATTAGAACTTCATTCCTTTTTTATGGCTGAGTAACATTCCATTGTATGGTTATACCACAGTTCGTTTATCCATTCATCCACTGATGGACCTCAGCATAGAATTTGCCATTTTTTTGGACTTGAACATCACTAGAATTATTTCTGCTTCCCAGAGCCTAATCCCAATATCACCCCCAGGATCCATGCGACAAGCCTTCCCTTACATGTTCTCATGTAATATAACAATTGATAAAAGAAGGGATCACCCCTCCCCCCATTTTACAGATTCGGAATCAGAGGTACAGAAGGACGAAGCAATTGGATCCAGGTGGGATTCCAAGCCTAATGTCCATTCCTCTTCACCCCAACTGGTGTCTCTGAGTGCAGGTAACTGAAAACAAAGTCCACATGGAAAGCAAACTCCTTGGGAGGGATTTTAATGCAGTCTACACTAATTCAGAAAATCCCTGAATTCTGTGTCCTTCCACTGGTGATTCTGAATACCCTCTGTGTCTCTTACCAGGCAGGCAGCCAGCATGCCAGGCACACAGCTTTCATTGCTTCCCTTTTTGATACCCTCTCATTACTTTTAATTGCATCTGAGCCTCTCTAGCATCTTGTATTTTGATTCCTAATCCAGGGCATTTCTCTGCCTCCCACTGCTCCAGCTCAGCACTTCCCTCTCTCAGGGCTCTCCAGAGAAGTGCCCCCAGAAAAAGGAGTTGGTCTTCCGTAATGAATTCATCTCTATAATGAATAGTATAATATCTACGTTCCAGGCATGTTTACATAGCAATCTCCACACACAAGCAACATTACAAAGGCAAGATTTTTAAAAGAATGCCATCTCACAGCTCCATTTCCAATGGTACCAAGAACACTATGGGAATTACCCTGACAAGGAGACAAAATCGACTTCCAGGGATGCTGGATTACAGACAATAGCTACAACAGCCCCATTAATGTTTAAAGTCAATGGAGCATAAAACTGCTTTTCTCTACTTACAGGCAGGCATCGTCTTACAGAGAGGAGGAAAAAAATTACTGTTTAAGTCTGCTGAAATCCATAAGCCCTCCCCTAATTTTCATTCCTCTTCAAATTCTCCAGTAAGTACCATCAGAATGAAAATGAGAATCACTCTCTCTGGGGGGAATGGCTTCCAATCCTCATCAGTAAAGTGTGAAGAGCCCTCCACAGAGATGGAGGAGAAAGGCTGCCTGTCGGGAAAGGATCTATCACCAAAACCTGCAGAACTAGTTGTGGCGACACACCTTGGGACTTGGGAGCCTCTGGGCTGACTTCAGAGGTCCTTAAACAATCCCAGGTCAGGGTAGACAGGAGGCAGAATGCAAGGGACCAGGCAAGCTCAAGGAAGTAATGCCTTTAGGGTATATTTTACTTAGTGGGCTGCAAGCGGGGAAGCTTCATCATTACTATATTAGCTGTTCTCTGGGGGAAGCGCTGGAATGGAGCCAGGCCTCTGTTAGTAAACCATTGGACTTAATCCCACATTACATTTGTGTAATGCCTGACAAAGCCTGTTCCCATTATCTCATTTGATCCTGAAAACAATCCTCACAGGAAGGCAGGGCAGGGATTATTTTTTCCATTTTACAAGTGAAAACACTTGTAAACTGATTTGCCAGGAGCCACACACCCAGACGTGGTAGGAATGAGACTTGAATCTAGGTCTTTGTACAACCTGTTCAGGGTTCTTTTGACTCAACACCACAGACTGATAAAAATATTCCCAGCCCCACCCAGTCCTCACAATCATCAGTTTAACCAGCAGCTGGGAGCTCACAATGATAGAGCTTACGTTTGTACTGCCCACACATCTCTGTCCTAATGAAAAAATACAGCCCTGACTGGCAAGCTCTCTAGGGGGGAAAAAAATTATTGCATATGGTCTCTCTGGACAAAAGACCAAAGTTAATCCACATGGATTTGAAAAAAATCAAGGCATTAGAAAAATCTAAGGAAAATTGAACCGAGTATTTAATAACTTTCTGGAGGCAAGAAGACTCTAAATTTAGCATTGTGTTAGAAGTCTCAAAGAAAGGGATTTTACAGATTTTACTATATTACAGTTTGTTCAGTTTCAGTGGGAAAAAAATGACTCTACAGGGCCAACAAAAAACCTGAAGAAATATTCATAGCAAAACATGAAAGAAAAGAGTTAACTTCTGGTATGTAGAGGAGTCATGCAAATAAGAAAAACGCAATAGGAAACAATGGGAACAATTCACAAAAAAAGGAAGTAGAGTTGGTTAACATTTAGAAAACTGCTCTACCTAACTAAAATCAAATAAACTATGAAATTAGCCAAAAATAAAAGAAAATTTAACTATAGTACTCAAATACTAGTGAAGGTGCAATGAATAATGTATGCACACACATTAATGATGGGAGAGTACATTTTACCCAACTGGAAAGCAATTTGGCTCATTTATCAGAAACCTTAAAATATCTATATTCTTTGACCTAAAATTCCATTCCTGGGAAGATGTTCTTAGGAAAGTCATCAACATGGAAAGTTTTATGCACTAAAATGTCAATCACATGCTTATTTACAACGGTGAAATTAGGTAAACAGTACATATTAAAGGAATTGTTTAATAATTTATGGTACAGCCACTTGATGGAAACTTACGTAATCAGTGTATGTTCTCAAAGCGCATGCAATAACACAAACACCATTTATGGTGTAATGCGAAGTGGAAAAGGGTACAACATTGTATGGACTGTTTGTATAACACTTTTATAGAAAAAGGCTAGAAAGGAAAAAAACGTTTTAATATGAACCATGTTGAAGTTCTATGATTATGAGAGATTTTTTTCGTCGCCCTAGATTTCTATTTAAATTTTATTTTATTTTTTTATGAACAAAGTCAACTCTTCTTTAGCCGAGCGGAGGCGCGTCCTTCTCTTGCGATGTGCCTGGGGGCTTGAGGACTGCGCAGAGCGGAGAGGCTCAGACACCCTACCGCAGATCGATTCTGCCCTCCTTTGCGACGTCCCCTCTGCAGCCCCCCTTTCTCCGCCCCCACCTCTCCGAACCGGACCGCCAGCAGCGCCCACTTCTACCCTCCCCACGCTGGGGTCCCGACAACTGCGGGTGCGCGGGGGAGGAGCAGGGCGGGCCCAAGCGTTGCTGACACGTGGGGAGGGAGGAAGCTTCGGCGAAGGAGGGGTTGGGCGTGTGAGTGGGTGTGTCTGCGAGTGGGAGAAACCAACCCAGGCTGCCTAAGAGTCTTCATTTTTTTTGTGCTGCTCATCCGGTCTGGGAACACAAAGATCTCCACACTCTCGGGATCCCTTCATAGGCGGACACCGAGCGTAGACACAAGAAGGCTCTGACCACGGCCCTGCACTGCCGCAGACGGCCCGCGCCGCGCCGCTTCCTCGCACTTCTCCCCCGCCCCCTCAGGGTGGTAGGGCCCAGCGGCTACGTCACTCATTGTTTACAAATCAACCAGAGCCGGTAAGATTCCGGCTCCCGCGGCTGCAGCGCGCGTTGCGAGTGCTTACCGGTCTCTGGCTCTTGCGTCCGCCCCGGCCCCGGCCCTTGCTCCGGCTTTGGTCTCGGCCTCAGCGCCGCCCCCAGCTCCTCTGTGGCCCATAGAGCCTCCAGGGACGCCAGGAGAGCTCCAGGTGCCCGGACGGGGGGCCATGCCTTGCCGGAGAGCGGAGGAAGAGGAAGCGGAGGGGGAGGAAGAGGACAGCTTTCTCCTGCTGGAGCAGTCGGTGACGCTGGGCGGCTCCGGCGAGGTGGACCGGCTGGTGGCCCAGATCGGCGAGACGCTGCAGCTGGACGCGACGCAGGACAGTCCGGCCTCCCCGTGCGCGCCCCCCGGGCCGCCTCTGCAGCCCCCGCAGCCTCCGGCGGCGGTGCGGACAGACAAGGCCGGGCCTCCCGGGCTGCCGCTGCTTCTGCCGACCGCACCGGCTGAGACGGTGGGCCCGGCGCCCCCGGGGGCCCTGCGCTGCGTCCTCGGGGACCGCGGCCGCGTGCGGGGTCGGTCTGCGCCCTACTTTGTGGCGGAGCTCGCCGCAGGCCCCAGTGCGCTGCCGGGGCCGTGCAGGCGAGGATGGTTACGGGGCGCCGTCGCCTCCCGCCGCCTGCAGCAGCGACGATGGCCACCAGCCGGGGCCCGCGCCCACGACGACGACCCGCACCGGCTCCTGCAGCAGCTCGTGCTCTCGGGAAACCTCATCAAGGAGGCTGTGCGGAGGCTCCAGCGAGCTGTCGCCGCAGTTGCAGCTACAGGCCCCGCGGGCACTTCCGGGACTGGGGGTGGCCGCAGGGGACCGGACCCGGTTGCCCTACAGCACTCTGACGCCTTGCACTGACCCGGGCCTCCTGGAGGAGGAAGAGGAGACCGCTTCGCAAACTCATCAGCGTCCTGCCCTCACCAACCCTGAGCTGAAGCCGCCCTTCTGGGAGCGACCGACTGGGTGGCGGCGAAGTGTGTGGGGAGACCTCAAGCCGAGAAGTTACCGGCCCGGGCGAGGCTATAGGAGAAAACTTGAACGTGGAGAAATGCACGGGCCAGAACGCGCCCGTGCCGCGTGAGAATTTCCCTGGCCACCTGGAGGCCAAGGACCTGGGATAAACTGGGAGAACTATGGCAGCTACTTGCATGGACTTGTACCTGACTTAACCCTTGGGGGCGTCGTGTGCTTGGATTGTTTAAAGATAGGGCTCCAAGGGGCGGGAATCGTGAGGGCTTTATAACAACACTTGAAAACTTAATGACATGAATACATTTTATTTTCCGGTGGAGGAGCTTAGTGACAATGGTGCTACAATTGCTGTGCAAAGAAATTCCGGAGGGAAAAATGTAAAAGATTGGTGTTGGGTGGGTTGGCATCGCCCACTTTCTCCCACCTAATCAGCGGCTGGTAGAGGTGGGAGATGTGAACCACAGTTTAAGGGGTGGGAGGGACGAAGAGAATTTCAAAGGTGACTAGAGTCGGAGTTAAATTTGGACTTTTAAATTACCTGACCTTGCCACCTGTGGTTCAAGGTCACGGTTTGCTGTACCGGAAGGCTGTGGGAGAGCTAACTCACCCCCATGTCCTTTCTTTCTCTTGCTCCAAGAAGAGCCCAGTCTGTGCTTTCCGATCTTTTGGAAGCCTCCCCAGGAGACACAGGCGGAGAGGGACATGTGAGGAGCGTTATTTGTTTTTTCTGTGCTTTCCTGTTTCCAGAACTCCTCCTCCCATGAGGCCACTCTTGGCCATGCCATGAGCTTTCTCAGAAACAGTCATAAACAATCTCTTGAGTCTCTCTCCTGTCCTCCCAGCCTGCCTTTCTTATTCTACCCTTGCTGGTGTCTGCACCAGAGGATGAGACCCTGGCTGTTTTTCTGCTCTGTTCTGGCCCTCTGAATCCGTGGGCCTGAACCTCCGTGGGTCCTCACCCCTCACAATTTCCTCCTGCCACTGACTCGTCTTTGTGAGTGACTGAAACTGTTTTTAAAATGTGACTCTCCCGAGAGGAGAAACCGCTGGCTTTACACTTATGAAACTTGATGGCGCTTTAAGTAAGGTGCCACCCCCAGACTTTAAGGTAGCTAACCCATTTTTTAAAAAGATTCAATGGCTTGTTCATTTTCCAGATGTAGCTATTGACGTACACTTCGCACCGGAGTGTCTGAAATTGTGGTGGTCCTGATTTATAGGATTTCTTAATTAAAATGTCTGCTGAATAAATTTGGTTTTTGTTTTGGAACATGGTTTGGCTTTTTGGTGGAAGGTAGGGGTAATAAAAGCTCTTGGGGATACCTTTAATAATGAAGAGTGTACTTGGGGGGACCTGGGCTCGGCACAGAATAGTGGTAGAGCTGCCAGGACGTCAGTACTTCTTGGTTGATGCTCCACAAGATCAGAAAATTAAGCCCAGGTTTTTAAAAACTCTTAGATGGGCTTTCAACTCCCTTTGTGGCATAAGAACATATTCCAGAAACACTTTCTAGGCTGGAGTACGGAGCCCAAGGGCTTGTGTCTGGAGGGGGGTTGAGGGAGCATTTTCAACCGAATTTATTGTATGAAGAATGGTTTTCCCCTAAGAGACTGAACCAGTCTTGAGCTGTGGGCTAGGGAAAGGAAAATGGTTTTACACGGATGTGTTTGGTAGCTGTAAAATGGCTCAGTTTAGCAGGCAGGTGTTAAATTAACTGAAGCGAATGGCCCCTCTTCAGCCCCTACTCCTCCTCCTGCCTTCAGCCGCATCTTCCCCAGGAATGGAGCCCTGAGGAACCTTTTCCTATTTGCTCCCTTGCCCTTTTCAGGGAAGCCTTTCTTGGTAAAGCCCAGATCTGCTAACCAGCCCCCTTGGGGGTCCTTTCCTGCTCAGCACCTCTTCCTGCCTTGCCGGCTCAGCGCCCTCCCACGCTGGAGCTGCAGGGGAAGGCTAGTGCTCAGTGACTTGGTTTGAGTCAGACCTTGCTGCTCACCAGCTGTGTCATACAGGGCTAGTCATTGCTCTGTGCTTTTCCCTTTTCTCATTTATAAAACTAATCCTCAATAGGGTAGTTGGGAGAGTAAAATGACGACCTGAGTTGTCTGCGATCCTTAAGTGCCCAAAAAATGATGGCTGTTGATTCTTGGCACCACCATTAGCCCTTTGTCCTTCAGGGGTCCCTTATCTGTCTCCCAAATGTGCCCCTCTCACCCTCACTAACACTTCCGCCACCCCTTCTCTTCCACTGCGAGCACAAGCTGTCACCACCTCTCTTGATTCTGTGCCCTGTAAGTCTCCCTGAACTCGTTCCAGAAGGCCATCTCACATACCTTCCAAGGGGTCTGCCTCTCTCCTTTCATCATTGGTGTGTAGCATTTACTAAGCATACATGTGCCAGATACTGTCCTGGATACTTAAATCATTATATCCTCTCATTATATCATGTCATGACTTGATTTGCCGTGAGGTAAGCACTATTTTCTCCATTTTCTAGATGAGGACACTGAGGCCCAGGAGATTCAGTGATTTGACTAAAGTCACCACCTCAAGTGGTGAAGCTGGTATTTGAACCCAGGCAGCCTGGCTCTAGGCTCTCCTTCCTTCAACCAGATCTTCCAGGCGTAGTCTACCACCTACATGAGACTTTTTTTTTTTTAAGATTTTATTGGGGAATTGGGTGAGGGAACGGCATCGGGGAATCGGGGAAGGGGAACAGACAAGCTGCTGTCATTTTGTTCTTTAGTCTAGTTGTGGAGGACGTCGCTTCACTGGCCCATGCTGGTATTGTGATCATTGCGCTCTTCCCAGCTGAGGCAGATCTGTCGCTAGCCATTGGCCGGCTGCTCACAGCAGTTCACGACTGCTCATGGAAGCTCATTCCAGCTGCTGGCAACTCACGGTAGCTTATGGCAGCCCACTGCAGCCTACACCTTGGCCGGTGACTCAACGGCAGCCCAGCTCCAGGTCGAGCTGTTGTTCACCATCTTAGCTGTAGAGGGCGCAGCGTCACTGGCCCATGTGGGAACTGAACTGGCGGCCCTGCTGCTCAGAGCTGTGCTCCCAAGCCAATTCTTAACTGATGAGCCACTCGGCCGGCCCTACATGAGACTTTTTTGATACCATTTTCTCCCGTGTTGGATATATGAAAGTTCTTAAGAGCATCCCACAAACCCTGATCTACTAAATACCTCCACACAATAGCATCACCATTCTCAAAATTTTCTTGTATACCAGCCACATGTGTGCAAGGTGTTGGGGATCCAGGCTGAAGCAGGGTTTCAGACATCCTGGAAGAACCCACAAGCAGGTTTGGGGCCAAAACCTTCACGTAAGGTAATAGGAATTGAATAAGAGAGGCACAGGTAACAGATGATATATGGCTACTTCTTATAGAACCTCAAGCCCTCTGTAAGATGAGGGCATAGGGCCAAGATAGTGAGGTCTCACCCAGCGCAGGCGTCCTGTGGGTCTGCAGGATGGTCAGAACAGCACTCAGGAATGGAATGAGAATGGTGACTGTGGACAAGGAGGGAAGATCTACAGGACCTGAGAAGCAAGCATTGAGAGGGAAAGGGAACTGAACCTTGTTATGGGCAGGCACTCCACAGGCACCTTATACAAGATGTTGCTTTTCAATGGGGAGAGGTAGGAATTATTGGTGGTACAACAGGATCTGAACTCATGACTCAACTTGGTCCTCCTGCCACCTGTCTCAGCCTACCCACAGCTTTCCTTATAAACCTCAGCCACTGCTACTGATCGGCCATCTGCATAAGGCTGTAGAAAGCCTAGTCCCGACTCTTGGCCTGGGGAAGTGTCTGTCTAGGGAGCAGTGGCCATTTCCATGGTGGAAATGGGCAGCTTGGGATAGCCCATTCCTAGTACTTGGCCCAGGAATGATTGTGGCTGGGGAATCCCTAAACTCTTGGAAAGGATGGGCACAGAACTGGGGGCATGGGCATGGGCAGAGGGGCTGTGGCCTAGGTTTCCCCGGTAACATTCTGCAAAGTTTGAGCCCAGAAGGACCAGAGCAACAGGGAAGTGGCAAGGAGAGGCTGGTTGTGTGAGTGTGTGTGTGGTGGAGGGGTTTTGGGGTTGATTAGGAGTTTCACGTGGGAAGTTACCGGGACAGCAGCTTCATGTCTCATAAATGACTAGAAGTTGGAGAAAGATCGAGGTGGAAGATTAGAGATTTGGCAGTTAGAGCCAAGAGGGGTGGATGGAGCCTGGGAAACGCTGTCAGTTGGGAAGTAATAAAAACACTAGCTAATGTGCAGAGTGCCTACCTTGTGTCAGTCTCTGTTCTAAGTACTTTCAAATCTATGTGGAAGGAAGATCAGACAGACAGACAGTAAGAGTGGAACCAAGAGAACCCAAGAGGTTGGAGGGTGAACTGTGAGGGATGGTGGGTATGTGAGTGTGTCTCCACACTCACAAGTGCACACACACAAACACAGCTATATGTCTCTTTGTATGTCCTCTGTAGTCAGGTCCAGGGTATTTGAAATCAGCTCTTACTTAGTGACTTTCGTTGTCTTTTTGAACTCTGAAGTTATTCACCTTCCCTTTATCAGCATCATTAAGTGGTGTGTTTTGAAGATCTGCACTGTGAGTTCTTTCACCACTTAACCCACCTGGAGAAAAGTACAATTTATGGTGCATTTGGAGAAAGGTGATTATGACTCCAGTCTCTGGGGAAGATTTTCAGGAAAACCTAGGAAACCGTTTTCCACCCATATTAGGATGTGGAATCTAATTTAGTAAAAAGCAATGGGCAAAAGGCAGGGCAAAGGTAACAAGATGAGATAACCAGTTTGTGACTTTTTTAATCCACCCAAATCAATAAGTCAAACAAACTGCCTGAATAGCCTACCAATTGGGGGTTATGAATTTTACCTCCTATGAGTCAGTTAATTGATAAGGGGGAGCAGTTAATAAACATCTTGTTATCACATTCAGTTTTTATTCTATTGTAGTGTAAGTGTAAGGTCTAGAGAAGGATTCGTTCCCACAATAAGAGAAACATACTCAACCATCCAAGGCATGAAAGGTTATATAAGGTTGTTTCAATAGCCAACAGTCAGGTCTCAGGCCTAGCTATGGTAGGACAGTTTGTCACATAAGATGCTGTTACGTGGGACATCCTTACAATCTCCCTTTAAACCTGTCCAGCTCGGCCACCCCATCCCTTCCCACCTCCTCAAGGAGCCTTGTCCTTTATAGCATCTTCCCTTCAGTTTCTTCCTTTGCACATCCTCCATCCACGCTCAGACAAGCAAGGTCTCTCCTCGTTAAGCAAAATCCTTCCCTTGGCCCTGTTCTCCCTTCTTAGCTGCTGTCTCTCCCTTTCTGCCTTCCTCCCACCATTTCTAGGCACCACCACTCATCTCTGCTCTAAACACCCTAACTCTCTTAGCCTCCGTAAGTCTGTTGATATCACCCCAGTTGTTTGCTCCACAAATATTTACTAAATGTCAGTACCCAGGCATTGTTACTAAATGCAGGTATGTTTCAAGCAGTGGCCTAAGCAATTTTACTAACATTAGCTCAACGAATCCTCACAATCCTATGAGGCAGGGACTTATTATCAAACTCGGTGGATGAGGAATGTGAAGTTAGACAGGTGAAGTGACCTGCCCAAGGTCACAGGAAGGAGATTTAAAGGAAAGAGCCAGGATGGTGACCCAGGCAGTCTAGCTCCAGACCTGGCATTTTAACAGCTACACATACTATACTGAGGCCTACAGTTTTCTTTTCAAAAGGTGTCTCTTCTTGTCTTTTCCCCTCTTCCCACCCAGGGCCTTATCATCCGGTGCCTGGATGTTTTAACAGCCATCCAACTGATCTGGGTGACCATAAATATGAGCCTTCAACCTCTAGCCATCCTCCACGCTGAGTCACCTGATAATCTGCCTAAAACATCCTCTTCATCTTGTCACTCCTCTGCCATCAAAGAATACATAATCTCTTTGGGAAAAGAAGACACCCGCATATGAGCTCCTGAGATAACCCTATAATGACAGTAAATAAAATGATGAGTGAGAACAAAATGAACTTGAAGATCATTCCCTGCGGGGGGAAAAAAAAAACTGCACGATTTTCTCAGCGTGAATTATAGACAGAATGGACAGGGCCGGGAAGCACAACTTCAGCTGAGCACTGAACTTGAATTAGAAGGGGAAGGGGTTTCTGAAAGGAAATGAGAGACAAGAGCTGTGACTCCAGACTGTCCTCACCACACCCCCTCCCCTTTGTAATATTCTCTGCTGCCCTTCCTCTACTGGTCCCAATCCTGAGCTGCTTTCAAGGTTTGGCTTGAAGGGGATTGCGCCCCTTTTCTATTAAACCTCATCTAGGCTGACTATTCCCTTCCTGTGCACTTCTCTGAGTGCTTACCTATACAACAGGGGTGTATGCTCTATACCCTCGTCTGATCTTCCGAGGAAACAGGTTCATGCCCTTTAAGAAACAGATCGAAGAAGCCATTAAGAGGTAGGACTTCCCACAAAAGACTTAAAGCGGTGGTAGTCTTCACGCAGTAGCTTCCAGGAATGATGTTTTATTGTTTGAATGTTTATTATTTGCTATTTGCTTCCCATGTGTTATCTGATTTAATCTTCACCCAATTCTTCAAGGTACGCTCTATTCTTATCGACCATTTGCAGGTGAGTTAATTGAGATTATTGAGGTGAAGGACCCTATGCCAAACCACGAGGCTAGCCATAGAGGGCTGCCTGTAGAGCCCACACTCTATCTATTACACCCCCTGGGAAATACTGTTATGGGCAGGTCACTTGTTCTCCCTTCAGTTATGGATGGAAAACCAGGAGGGAGCGCTGCATGGGAGAGTTTTTGCTCATTTGCCTACACCAGCCTCACTGTATTCAAATGGGAGTGCAGCTCCGCATGGAAATCTCTCTGGGCTTCTATCTCTAAATGAGGCAGTAGCGCTAGACCACCAAAGGCTGAGTTCTCCCGGGGCTGACATCCTGTGATTACTGAGCATTGGTGGAAGAAGGGGGAGCTAATTGAGTGAGTTAGTAATTTGGTTGCCAGGGTAACTCTTTCCTGATTGGAAGGAAGGGATCACAGGGTTCAACACAGACTTTGCTGGATAGGAAAGTGGTGTCTGATCTTCGCTCCATGTTTCTGCTTCTGAGCTGGAAAAGGAGAGAGCAAAAAGGTAAAAATTGAATCTAAATATTGTAGTGTTTACGCTTCCTTTAGAATGAAATCCTAGGGTGGCAGACTCTAGAGTTCTCTGTGGAGTGTGGCATTCTATTCAACAAATCACTTGTTATTTACCAATTTCTGTTTATTTTTTATTTTTCATTGAGTTTATAGCTTTGGTCTCTTATGTCACTCAAGCCATTTTCTGTGGCCAGCTGTCCTCATAGGATGCTGAACATTTTGTAAGGGTCTACACAAATTATTTTTTAAAGTTATTAGATCATTTTACAGGTGGAAAAAATAGTCCAGGAAAGGGGCAGGGCAGAGTGACATACAAAGTCATTTTTTGAAGTTAAAAGCCTAACAGAGTCTAGAACTCACGTCTCTAGGCATCCAGTGCAGGCCTCTTTCCGATAGCCTGATACCATTATACATAGTTCAGTATTCACTGCACAACTCCACACCTGTACTACAATGTGAACGACGCCCCTGCCGTTGTGCAGTGTAGTGGCCCTGCCATTAGAACCCTGGAAAATCATATCCCAGGCCCTTAGGCTGAGCTAGCCTTGTGATTTGGCACAGGGTCCTTCACTTCAATAATCTCAATTAACTCACCTGCAAATAGTCGATAAGAATAGAGCGTACCTTGAAGAATTGGGTGAAGATTAAATCAGATAACACATGGGAAGCAAATAGCAAATAATAAACATTCAAACAATAAAACATCATTCCTGGAAGCTACTGCGTGAAGACTACCACCGCTTTAAGTCTTTTGTGGGAAGTCCTACCTCTTAATGGCTTCTTTGATCTGTTTCTTAAAGGGAATGAACCTGTTTCCTCGGAAGATCAGATGAGTGTATAGAGCATATACCCCTGTGGTATAGGTAAGCACTCAGAGAAGTGCACAGGAAGGGAATAGTCAGCCTAGAAGAGGTTTAATCAGAAAAGGGTGGTGATCCTCTTCAAGAAGTGGGGCCGAGGACTTCAGGGTTCATCCAGTGTCAGGGAAGTCAGCACCTGACTGCTTTCCCCTGCTGCTCAGTGCCCAGAGGTGGTAGCCCACTGTATGTTGGAGACCCCTTTCCTCAGTTTGTGTTAGAGCTGCCATAATCACTTTTCCTTGCTGGGCAGTACTGGACTTAGCCCCTCACAATCCTTTCTGGGCAGTTGTGGGAAATGGCTGGCTTGGTGTGTTCTGGAGGTACTGCTCAGAGACCATCAGGATCTGTGTGTGTATTAGAGAGACTGGAAGCTATAGTCAACAGGAATTGAGTCCAAAAGGGAGAAAGTTGGGACTCTAATCACAGAGCTCTCGATCCAGAAAGCACTGTTGGAATCATGGCATGCCCTTAGGGACAGTCCTGGGTAAAAAAAAAAAAAAAGGTAGGGACAATACTGTTTATCTCCACTAAGTGCCAGTCACCCTGAACGCTTTTCTCTCATCTCACTTTTCATCTGTTGTACAGATGAGGAAACGGAAACCCACAGTTGAGCAACTTGTCCAAGGTCCCCTAATAAGTGGACTTGAACCTGGATACCTTGTTCCCGGCCTGGCTCCTTCCTTGAGGGAACAGAGTGTAGTAACTCAGAACTGGGGGGATAGAGATGGGCTGTTATGTCACTGCTTAGGGAGAGAATGGCAGCGAAGGTGCCAAGGGCAGAGAGAGGCGTCTAACACACTCCCAGCCAGCTTTCCCACCACAGGCTTGCATCCTGAGCAAACCCTAACCACGAGCTGCTCAGCCTTAGGGCCACTTTGTGGAACAAGTCCACATAATGACCACAGTAGAAAGAAAAAAACAAACAAACTGATAAGCTTCCCAGTCTGCAGTGACTGGTTCATCTGATGTTCTTTGTAAAAACAGTCAGAGCCATCTTCATAAAACATCTCCATCACTGACTAGTAATCCAAAGGCTCTATCTAAAGTTTTGGTGAATGGGATTGGTCCAAAACCTGACCTCACTTTCATTTAATTTCATGCCAGCACCAATACACACCCAGCCGAGCAGACCCTGTCTAACTAGTGAGCTGCTCAGACACAAAGGCGCTCTAATTACCATCTGCAAGCTAGGCCGACAAGGATTTCAAGTGTTTTCATGTTTATGGAGATCAGAGAAATGTGTTCTGTGCATCTTTCCCACCCACAGCAAGTATAAAATAAAACCAAACAAGAAACACAACACATTTATTAAAAAACAGACATTTCAGTTAAGTTAAAATCCTATAATCAGGATAGCCACAATTCCAGACACTCCGGTGCGAAGTGTAGATATGTCAATAGCCACATCTGGATGATGAACAAGCCATTGAATCTTATAAAACTAAAACACCAACTAAACGGTCTTAAATCCCTTAGAGTGAGTGAACAGTATGTTACAAGCACTTCGCGGTTCACAATGGCACAGCCTGCAGCTTCTCCATTTGGAGGGTCACATTTTCTAGTTTCCTTCGCTTACAAAGGCAAGCTGGTATGGCTGGGGGAGGGGCAGAGGGAGGAAAGCAACTCCATCTATCCAGGGAATTGCAGCTGTTATTGCAAATGGCCCCGGAGAGCCCATTATAAGCTGCTATGCGAGGCTGTTTCTCCCTGGAGTGCCTGTCACGTGGCTTCTCCCCAGCCCGGGCCCCCAGGAGCACCAGCACCACCCTTTAGGGTAGGACAGCAGAGCCGAGGGGTAGAGGAGGGACAAGAGGCCACGTTTCCAGACAGTTTCCGTGAAAGTCTGGGGCGCGGCCGCTCTCGGGAGGCACCGGCGCCCAGCACGTCCCTGCCTCGCTGCACCCGCGGCGGCGGCGGTGCGCGTGTCCTCAGGAGACTCCAGAACTTGCAAAACACTGCTCTCTTTTCCGAGTACAGGCAGAACTGGGCGCCTTTTCTGTCTTGCTGGAGCCCCACAACTCTGTGTGCGCCCAGGAAACAGTGACCTTGAACTCGTGGAGAGGCGGGTCAGCTGTAAAAATACTTGAGAGAGGACTAAGGGTTCCCTCCGAGCCTCTCCCTACCCTTTCCCCAGCACCAGCCGCCCCGGCCGCCCATCGCTACCCGGGGCGCCACCGCCTTCCCCTACCACTCGGAGAACCGCAGCCAGTTGCAAAGCGGGGGCAGAGAAAAGGTTACTTCTATTCAGTTCCCAAAATGTCCCTTCACGGTACCGCGTGTTTTAAGAACCAGCACCCCAAAAGACGAGATGTTTTATATATATATATATATATATATATATATATATATATATATATATATATATATATGTCGTAAATTTTCAAGTCTGGCAGATTGAGGTACTCCCTGAAATGATCGTCTACTCATGTCCACCTCCCCCAAAAGTGGATCACGGACCAGCCTTGCAAAAATAAAGCAAGTAACAGATCATCTTCGTTATGCGGGCGCTCTACGATCCTGAGAAGCGTGGACTGTGGCCACATGGTTGCCGGGCTGGAGGGCCCGGAGAGGCTACGTGGAATTGCAAGCTGTGCCTCCAAGACTGGCCATGCCTAATAAGGTGTCCTATTGATTGTGAGCTCGGGGTGAGCTGTGCAATCTGCCTTAAATAGGGCCAACTCCTGTTTTTCAACATCAGAGCCCTTGGCATCAGCTGCCCACGAAAGCACTCGCGATTTTTCGATTCATCATCTTCATTAGCTTATTTTCCCGCTTCCCAAAGCGCGAGTTCACCAGTCTGACTAGAGATGCACCTCTCAGGGGAACCCCTTGCCCCTCCAGAGGCTGGCGCTGTGGCCACTCCCGGGGTATTAGCTGCCAGGCACAAGAACGCCGTCGCCAGTTCGGAGCTGCGCCCTCCTCCCTGTCGCGCCAGAGTTGCTGCAGGCCGCACGAGGGCTGCGGGGCGAAGGGGGCTTGTGCACCGGGGCCGTCAAAGGCCCCAGGAGCGGGCGCTGGGGAAGCTTTGCGTGTAACTGCAGCCGTCGCGAATGAAGCCTCCGCACAGCCTCTTTGATGAGGTTCCCGGAGAGCACGAGCTGCTGCAGGAGCCGGTGTGGGTCGTCGTCGCCCGTGCGGACTTCCGGCTGGGGCCCGCGTCGCTGCTGCAGGCGACGGGAGGCGGCGGCGCCCCGCAGCCATCCTCGCCGGCACGGACCCGACAGCGGCTGCGGGGCGCTCCTCTTGTCGGCTCCCGAAGGCCCATCTAAGCTGGGCTGAGGAAGCAGTGGGGACAGGGCGCTGGGGCCTGCGGCGAGCTCCGCCACAAAGTAGGGCGCAGACCGACCCCGCACGCGGCCGCGGTCCCCGAGGACGCAGCGCAGGGCCCCTAGGGGCGCCGGGCCCACCGCCCCGGCAGGCACTGTCGGCAGAAGCAGCGGCAGCCCGGGAGGCCCCACCTTGTCAGCCCGCACCGCCGCCGGAGGCTGCGGGGGCTGCAGTGGCGGCCCGGGGGGCGCGCACGGGGAGGCCGGACTGTCCTGCGTCGCGTCCAGCTGCAGCGTGGCGCCGATCTGGGCCACCAGCCGGTCCACCTCGCCGGAGCCGCCCAGCGTCACCGACTGCTCCAGCAGGAGAAAGCTGTCCTCTTCCTCCTCTTCCTCCCCCTCCGCTTCCTCGCCGGCTTCCTCTTCCTCTTCCCTCCAGCAAGGCATGGCCCCCTGCCCGGGCACCCGGAGCTCTCCTGGCGTCGCTGGCTGCTTTGTGGGTCGCGGCGAAACCAGACGCGGCGCTGAAGCCGAAACCCGGGCGGGGGCCGAGGCGAGGCGGACGCGGAAGCCAGAGACCCGCGGGCACTCGTGCAGTACGCTGCAGCCACGGGAGCCGGAATCCTACCGGCTCTGGTTGATTTGTAAACAATGGGTGACGTAGCCGCTGGGCCCTACCACCGCGCGGGGGCGGGGGTGCGCAGTGCGGTTGAGGGGGGCGGGGCGCCCCCTGGCCCGAGATCCAGGGTGAAGCCTTGCTACCTCTGAGCTCCACAAACCTGAATACTGTCTGCGTGGACTCACTGGGGAGCTGATCTTCGCTTTCTCAGGCGGGAGTGATTGGCATTTCAGAAGATGAACACCGCCGTGGACTCTGTTGGTTTCTTCCACACACAAGCACAGACACTTTCACTCACACGCCCACACACTCCCCTCCTCTAAGCGCGTCAACTCGTCTGGTTTTGGCATTTGCGCTTTTGAGATCCCAGATTCTAGCGTCCGGGAAGTGATGACCGGGCGAGTGACAGGAGAATGGAGACGTGAAGGAGTCAGGCCAGGGAATTGTCTGGAGAGCGGGGAAACGGGGCTGACAGGGATGGAAAGCAAGAAGGAGAAGGGACCCTGTGGTACGATAGGGGTGGCAGACTTGGAATTGGCAAAGAAAAGCCACAAATTAATGTTTCATGATCAGGAGCATGGGTATGTGGGGTCTTGGATTGGGGTTGGCATTCCTGGCGAGGAGGAGGTTGCTAGTCTTGGGAAGAGCTCTGAGCTAGAAAGTTCTTTTAAGAAGAATGCCTCAGCTAAGTAGGGGAGTATCCTCTCTGAGAGGGTAGCAGGAGAGGAAAATGCTGAGCTGTTTGGATGGAAATGGAGATATGGTCCAGCTAAACACTTTAAGATATCATGATTGGCTTAATGATTAACCAAGACTTCATTTTTTAAAAGGAGGACAGGCAGAAAAATCAATCATTTACTGTCATGTTGCTTGGAGGTTTTAGACGTCTATCCATAATCCCAAACCCCTCATGCCTAGCTTCCAAACACTACACGTGTAGGTAGGCTTTTGATGGACCAGCCTTTACAAGCCATCCAGGGGAGAGATTAGCAGGGTGATGAAAATATTCAAAACTGGATTATAGTGATGGTTGGATACCTCAATTTTACTAAAAATCATTGAATGTTCATAAAAAATGAGTGAATTTTATATGTAAATTATACCTCAATAAAGTTGTTTTAAACATTAGCCACAAAGCAAGCACACA